AAAGTTGCTGAAGTTGAGAAAGACTAACCTAAATGATATATTGGAGAGAGAAAAAGACCATAAAGGGGGAAAAAGACACAGAGAAAGTTTCTTACTCTCTTAAACACTGAAAATCATTTCTCTAACAAAGAGGCCAGTGGGAGATAGATATAGGGACAGTGGGACAGGCAGGGACATGCAGTCAGGGGAGGCAGGGCCTCACCATTGTCATCATGAAAAGAAAATTAAAAGGAAAAAGGCTGAGCTAGTTGCTGCCAGAGTCACAGTGGATGACTCTGCTTAGTGCTTTAAAAAGCCTCTTTAAAAAGCCCCCTCTACAGGAGGAGGCGAGAGAACCACGTGCCTCATCTACATAAGGAATTTTTCACCTTTTAACCCTTGCTTAACTCTGCTCAAGTAATTATAAAGATAAACTAAATGAGGCACGTGATTCTCTCACCTCCTCCTGCAGAGGTCACTTTTTTAGCGGCTTTTTTAAACAGCTAAGCACTAAGCAGAGTCATCCACTGTGACTCTGGCAGCAACTACCTCAGCCTTTTTCCTTTTAATTTTATTTTCATGATGACAGTGGTGAGGCCCTGCCTCCCCTGACTGCACGTCACTGATCATGATCTTCTTTTAAGGTGTTTTTTCAATGTTAAGGAACAGCTCTTATAGCCCTGATGTTCTTCCTTTAAAATCTATTTCTGCTTAGTTTTGTTTGGTAGACCACATGATTAAGTGCAATTAGATGCTCCACCCCATATACACATTCATGCTTTAACTGACATGATTTATACCTTGGTATCAGATTAGTTTCCAGGCTAATCTGTTCATTTGCTAGAATTGACCCAATCAGTTTGATTTTCCCAGGAAAAGCAATTGGTAGTCCCTCACTTTCGGAAGATGTAGAGGCTGAGGTCCTTTAAAATTATCTTTCTCTAGAACTTAGACCTTAGTTGTTTTCTGGAGAATGCCTGGGATGGGACACTGGGTTTTGTGATGGTGAGAGGGGAGAGGGTAGAATTGTGTGTTAATCCTAGTTAATGCTAGGATTTAGTCAATCCTCATGAAGGAATAATCCAATTGAATTGATTAGGAATAAGATGTTCTGATAGAATAAATGATAGAACAAAGGCGTCCGCAGCTCCCACCAAGCGTAAGGTGGCCAGATTTTAACATGGGGCAACTGATGATAGTTTGAGCGGGTGTGGCCGGCGCAAACTACCGTCAGTCGCCCCGCGCTCATCAAAATAAGTCAGGGAAGAGGAGGTGTTGGGCAGGAAGGCTTCGGGCGGCTCCCGGGTGGCAATGCCACCGCCATCCGCTCGCCGGCTCTTCCCGCCAGGATGCCCGAAGATTTCCAGCCCACCCGGGGCAAATCGGCCATGGTGCAGCCGGTGGTGGACAGGAGGGCTTCGGGCGGCTCCTGGGCGGCGGGTATCCAGGCGGGAAGAGCCGGCAGGGGTGTTGGTGGCATCTTCACAGCAGAGCAGAGGTGCAGCAGCGCCAGCAGCAGGGCAGCGTCCATCGGGTAGCAAGGCGAGCTGCGTATGCGAGGCTGCTCGGCCCGCCCGCCCCGTGACTCCTGTTAGTGCTCGGCAGCGTGCAGCCGCCACGCAGCCTCCAGCTCCGCAGGCTGCCCTCCTGGCGCACAGCCACTATCATCCTGCAATTCCTTGGTGGTGTCAGTGGCAGCGGCAGCCGCGAGACCTCCTCCTCCTCAGCCACCGCCATCTTGGCTCCCCCCTCCCTCTGAGCCCCCTCCCTCCAGCTTCCCTCAGGCCCCGCCCTGATCTTCCCTCGCCCTCCCACAGTGGGTCCTGGCTGCACTGCCGATGCCCTTTTGTCCACTCACCCATGAAAATCGGGACTTTTTGAAAACGTTGCGGGACAAATTATGAAAAATTGTGACTGTCCCGCCAAAAGCGGCATGCCTGATCACCTTAGATTACATCAATAGAGTAGTAAATGTGTGGAACACCTTACCTAACACTGTTATTAGTTCCTCTAACACCCATACCTTTTACCTTAAACTGTCTACCATGGACCTTACACATTTCTTAAGAGGTCCCTAAGGGGGCGTGCATAAGCGCACCAGCATGCCTTAAGTCCCTGTCCTACTGTCCCCATTTAGATGTACTCTTTTTATGTGCTTATGGCTATGTTTTGCTTATTTATATCAATTTATTTGTGCCATTTTTTCATGTGTTTTCACACTTGTTTCCTTGTACTTGTTGACAAATAACTAAAATTAAATAAATAAATAAATAAATAAATATTTTTGGGTGGCTTCTGTACCCCCGTAGCACCGAGTCCTGCAAGACTGTGGCAGGATATAAAAGTAATACATAAACGAACCAACTTCATTGCAGAAATCATCTTAGCTCATTACTCCCTGCAGCAGAGACTGAAAGAGATCCAGATTGTAAATAGGCACTATTTCATGAAAGAAGCAGGGAAGCTAACTTTCTACAGCAAAATACAGATCTGAATGGTATAATTTTTGAAAGAGCAAGTTCTGCCCTTTTAGAACTGAAGAAGAAAATGGCTGTAATAAAACAAGACAGAGTATGCCACTCTGGCACTTCATTAGAAAATTGAATTGTAATTGAAATAACAGGAAAGGCTACTGAAGGTTGCAATTCAAAGTGACCTAAAACTGCCACTTCTCAAACTAGGACAGAAGAATTAAAAAAGAAAGATCTTTCACCTTCGAAATAAATCATAGGGTGCTCTCTTCTGGAACACTGCTTTTCCTCGTCTTCTTCAGCGTAGTCAGGAATCCTGTGTGCCGCAGAGAGGTGAAATGTGAGAAGGAAAAGGCTCGCAAATGACAGTAGAACAGCTTTTGCTCCCGAAACAGCCATGACTGAAGATGTGCTGCAGATAGGGCATCCAAATTAGGCCTCTCGAAAATACCTGAAACATTAAAGGGGGGAAAAAATAGGGCCTCTTACAAAAATGATACAAATTAAATCAGCTTTACATCCTACACAGCCAGTTCTCAGGAACATTAATGCTTTACAATGATATTCAAATTCTCAGTATAGTAAATGTTTAAAAAGGAGACTAGGGATGAGGTACAGATACTGTAAGCTGTCCCTTTCTGGAGTTTAATGAATGAAAAGTCTTATTTATCAATGACACTGTATTTTGTATTATTGTCATTTGTGCCTTAAAGGCTCTACTGTTTAAACTTATTTACATAAATAGTGTATGTAAGCCTCTCAACGTTAGTTTAGGTTGGAGAAACATACAAGCTATGCAAACAAATAAATAAAATACAATTAATTTGGGGATGAGGTGAACTATATTGACTTATTCTCTGGACTCACATTCCAAATGCTTACTCATTCTGTCAAAAGGGTGATATTCCTGATAGAATATTCCATTCCTCCCTTTCAAAACTCAGCATTTTGTATTCAGGGAAAAAAAAAACCTACCCAAAGATAGCATATCTATTACTACATTTACTGCAGTGTAGAATATTTGTAAGATAATTACAGAAGCACTATCAAATGTGGTTTTCCAGTAAGTGATGAGCCAAACAGTTCTCTATTTTAAACTCATTCCTTCATCTTTTTATAACAAAAGGGAAAAATAGAAAAACTACTTTTGGTTTAGCAGTTAAGGCATCAGACTAGAAACAAGGATCGAAATTCCAGTCCCAACTTAGGCATGAAAACCGTTGGGTGACTTTGGGCCAATCTCTCAGCACACCTCACCTCACAGGGTTGCTGTGGGGAAAATAGGAGGAGGAGGAAGTATCATTTATGTTGCCCATCTTGAGTTATTTATAAAAATAATAAAGGCAGGATAAAAATAAATAAAGTATCTGTTACTTACAGCACTATATTAATGAATGTCATTTTTGCCAGAGTACAAAAGAGTACTGAGGTCACCAGTTTGACCCTCTAAGACAGTGTTTCTCAATCTTGGCGACTTTAAGTCCTGTGGGCTTCAACTCACGGAATTCTCCAGCCAGCTGCCAAGGTTGAGAAACACTGCTCTAAGCCATGGAATTTTTAAGGATACCAAGACTTTTCACCTGTATCAAAGACTTTAAACAAAATAATCTTCACTTGAAGACTATCCAGTTTTTTTTATTACAATACCCATACTTGCATGAAGACCCATTGTAGAGCTTAGTGCAAAGTCTAGAGTTTGTGGGACTAATGCAGAAAATCAAAAGCCTCTGTATAATATGAATATCCTGCCTTCACCACAGGAATCCTGCAAGGAGACACCCATGATGGCAATTGGCAGTTTTGTTCACCAGGACAATGAGCTGTCAGCATGGAAACCATTGTAATAGTCAGGACTTTCAAGTGAAGGTTGCTATAATATCAATGGCTTCTATGAGGTAAGTGTTGGCAAACTGATTTAAAACATGCATACAAGTGTCAGTGATGCTAGATAACATTCAGACAAAATAGTCATAAAGCAATCTATACTATTCAAACATGTCACCAGTAATACCTCAGAGCTACCCAGTGGTATTTGTGACACATATATAAGTGTATTCATCCACTGTATGAATAGGATGGCTAACTGGGAAAAGAAAAAGGAGAAAGATTTCATATCAGTTTTGCTAATAAATAATGCTGAGAAGTGGAAAACACAATCTCCCTGGATATCACCTTGTTCATTACTGGGAAATCATTCAATCCACCATCAGGTTCTCAATTATTGTTCCAAACACAAATTATCTAGAAAATCATTCAAACTTTAGTTAACACCAAGTTTATACATTAATTCATTTACAACAGGGCTCATTTGGGTATTGTGTAAACCAAGCTCCTAAGGTTTGAAAATCACCATTTACAGTTTATCGTGTTGGATGAATATAGCCAATAGTGATTTACTAAAATTATTGTTAAGGAAACTGCAGCTTTCCTTTACATGAAGTCCAAACCATTATTCAACTTAACAAACTTAGCTCTGACATTACCTACTGAGCCAAAAAGACCAATAAAAGTGATAAAATGTGTACACTATTCAGCTGAATATATGTGCCAGTAACAAAGACAGTTAGATTTCTTTTTAAACAAGAAATGATACTTAGTTGGAGCACTTTTTTTAAAGGTTTATGATTCAGTTTTGCCATATATTCCAAATGACTTGCTTTTTAATTAAAAAAAATCTTAACACTGGAGATTATTCACATTACTGTTAGAATCATTATCAATTTGCTTTAAATAGAATTCAGATGAGGGTGGGGAGTAACTTAGGTTGTTCAAATTTTGTCACACATCTTAATAAATGAGAAGTACTATATGTGAGGGTCTACTGCCTCTGAAAGCTGTATCAAAGAAAATGCCTATATAACAAGGGTCCACAGGAACTCAAGTCTGATGCTACCAACCACTAAAATTAAGCAAGGAATTCCTGTGATTTGAAGTGGGTTGTAAATCAAGGGAAAGCAATTGTGAAATAATGGTGGTATAATAAAAAGCATCCACGAAAGAGACCCCAAAAAGATGGATCAACAACATCAGCAAATATTGCAGGCCCAATTGGCAAAAGAAAGCTCAAGATCATATTTGTTGGAAACATGGCCACCATCCTGCAGTGGGTAGACAATAGCTAAAATGATGATGAATGATGATAAGGTAATAACTCATCATCATAAGCCACCTTCTTGACATTTTGCTCTACTTTCGAACAGTTGTAAGAACAAAGAAGGGGGAAATTGTGGGGAAAATAGGAGAAGGAAGCAGTGTTAGGTATGTTCACCATCTTGAGTTATTTATAAAACAATAAAGCTGAGATAAAAATCTAATAAACAGATACTATGATCAATATAAAGATGGAGAAAAGTCAGAACATGAGATAAAAATGGATAGCCAAGCTAATTATCTGGTTATTCTTTTATATATTAATTATGATCACTTTCGGGTATGACTGAGAGCTAAACCCACCCTACGAAGCCATCACTCCCATTTGCAAAACTAGAACAATTGTCTGCCTTTTTTTCAAGCATTATTCTTTATTTTTGGAATGCTCAATCTCCTACTATTAGAATAATACCATGAAATTTGGCATTCACACATCATTTTGAAGACACCTTTTTCACTTTATTTTTTCAATCTCACATCTGCTCTTCTTCATTTCCTTTCTTATTGTTTTTTATTTGCCCATAGTTCTATTTATTTTAAATAGATCTTATGAAAAGTAGTCTATTTAATGTGTATTGTACATGCAAGATGTTCCTTGTTATTCCCAATAGAAATAACATACATCTGAGATTAAAATTGGTGACAAGTTTGAATGTGGTTGAAAGTGATCATAAAATTCTGTTATTCCCAAAAGAAATAACAGACATCTGAGATTAAAATACCATTGAAGAAACTGAAATTAAATGCAGAAAATGGTCTTTTCCTTTGGGGCATTTTGGACATCCTTTTTTAAAAGTTGCAACAGGAAAAGTAATCTACAACCTATCAACAAAACTAGTATATAACCTGGTTTGGACTTTGTGTATTGTATGACTCCCACTGTGATTCATTCAACAAAACTATAGTTATAATAAATCAGGATTAATGGAATATACCAGATTAGTTATTGTGCAAATAGTATAAAAATTCTCAGAACAGTACTCAACTGATTATTATTATTCATTTTTAATACACTTATAATGTTTACCAATAAATAAATGCCCAATTTTACAAAAGTTCAACTTGTGGAAAAAATAAAAGTATTCCATCATTATTACGTACATTGAATATTTTAAACCACTAATTATCCTTTAAGCATTCCCTTTAGTTTTTCTTCTTAATCAACACCACCACTTGCATGGATATTATTGTCATTAACTTAATTAAAGTTCTATTTTTCCTTCTGAAGCAACTTTTAATAGTAATTTCTTGTACTCTTTTTAATTGTTTACTTTATCTCAAACATAGAATATTTATATGTCATTTTTTAATGTTAGGGTTTAGAAATCTGAGGCTGTCAAGTTTTCTTTATAATTTGTGATCTTGTACAGTAGAATTTTATGCTGTATATAATTTTCCCACTCTCTCTGGAAAGAGTCATTTTCTTTTCCATTTTGCTAAGAATATACAAACTATGTATTAATTAATTCTATCCATCTTTAAAATATAATTACAATAATCTTTAAATACTGCTCATCTATTCACTCTTTCTCATAATGTTCATGGCCACTATATGACAAATTATTATATAAGCATAATTACATTAATCTGAATCTGTTTGACTATATCTTTCCAACTTCACCAAAATGCTTGGATATCTGGAGTGTGAACTAGGATCACATATCCAACCACTTACATTAATTCAATTATTTTAAACACCATTTTTGAAAAATACTTCTATAAAAAAGTTAAATCTCTTCTCCCTTCAAGCCAAGGGAGGCATGCCTTAATCCCGACAAAAGCTGTTCCCTTCCGAACAACAGAAATGGTTTCTTCTACTTTTCTCTTATTGCCATATCTTATTTCTGTGCTATCATCAGAACAGACTGAAAAGAAATATACTGTAAAAGCATTCACACATTGGATTCCCCTGGATTACACAAAATATTTGTCCCCATGGGAACAGACACATCTAGCCAAAGACCACATTAGTTCCTCAACCCCCAGAGAGTGATATCTGATCCTTCCTTTCATACACAAACCATGAGAATATTGCAGACGTTAGAATCTCTGTAAAAAAAATATGATTTACTTTGCTATCAATATAATTGTATTCACTAATTCCCCACCAAAGTTTCACATTTAGTAATTCTTTCCTATTAGGACTTTGAAATTACACCAGAACACTATTCTTTCTACTTCAGTGGTTCTCAATCTGTGGGTCGGGATCCCTTTGTGGGTCGAACGATCCTTTCACAGGGGTCACCTAAGACCATTGGAAAACACATTTTCAAAAAAAATACGGAAAACATAAAAT